GACAATAAATGTTGTTTTTAGCCACTAAATTTTGGAGTATATTTGTTATGCAGTGATGGATAACTAATACAGGTGTGAGGGTCAGTTTTATGTATCAACTTGTCTAGGATACAGTCCCTAGTTATTCAATCAAACATTAATCTAAGTTGTTGCCTTGAAGGTATTTTGTAGATGGGATTAAAATCTATAATCAGTTACCTTTATATAAGGGAGATTATCCAAGATAATCTGGTGGGCCTGACACAATGAATAGAAAGGCCTTAAGCGCTTAGGCTTCCCAAAAGAAGAAATTCTGCCTGTGGGCAGAGCTTCAGTTCATACCCAAGAATTCCAGCCTGCCCTTCCTGACAGCCTGACCTATGGATTTCAGACTTGTCTTGCTAGCCCATACAATAATGTAAGCCAATTCCTTACAACCGATTCTGTTTCTCTGGTTGGAAACCTTGACTGATACAATCAGCATGAACAAGTCTGGTGGGTGAAAGTCTGGAGGGGGTTGGTAATGAAGAGTTCTCCCTTTTCCTATAAATATGGAATAAACAGTCTGAACAGCCTTCCAAATGTTCTAGGCATTGATTCATAATGTGAATTTCTCGAGGTGATAGATATGTGGTATGTCACTTCCTATCTGGTTTATCTATACGGAATCTTGTTGAATCCCCAATCCCAGACAACAACACAGAAACTTCGCTACTCCCAAGGAAGGCTAAAAGAGTGTCCATCAGAACGAATGAAGGTACTTACATCTGATGAACCCTCAAGCGCTAGGGTGGATTTATAAAAAATAAATCTGGATAGCCCTGTAGGTTCATCTTCTTTCCCCCTTTTGATGGCTTAGCAGAGAGTTGCCTCAACAGGTCTGAGCAAGCTCAACAAAATAGACTGACACCAGCCACTGGAGTTCAGGGGCTCTTCCTTTCTAACAAGATTACTTTTGCAGTCAGGGAACACTGATATTCCCTGCCCGCATGACTCTATTAATATGTAAAATATATTTACATATATACTGCCTGGTCCCTCTCTATGTAAATACTGTCCAAAATACCAGATGATCTATGACCAGCCTGTTCAGTAAAATAATGAGAGGTCAGGGGATGAGGTGTACTCTACTATTTCTCTGCTTATAAGTTTTCTTCCAATAAATCATATTATATCTACACTGTAAGGTGCATGAAATCTCAAAGCTATGGCTTCCTACCAGGTATTTATAATTCATCTATAGTCCTCCCAATCCAAGTGCAGTTTTCAGATGGGGTCATTTTAAACGATGAGGAATGTAGCCTGATTACACAGCTGACATTCTACTTTTATCGAGTTTTCTAGAAAAACAGTATAAAAGAAGGTTAACCTGCGGTAATTTTCCCATTAGGACGGATCAAGGGTTTTGTTACCATTTACTTACTCCCATTATCTTGGATTAATACGAGTATCTTTGACCACCAGGAATTATCCTCTCCACTTCCTAACCAACTGAACTATTTTCTTTAACTGACTAGCTTTTGTAAGGCCCACATACATTTTTATCTTGAAAAATCACAAGCAAGTTTAAAGTAACAGCACAGGACTGTGTTAGCACACTACATTTAGCACAGTATAATTTTTTAATCACTTTCATAAATGCTGCCTTTTTACATGCAGAGGTCTATTCAGTCACAGTGGAACAAGGTTCTGATTACATCCTCGTGGCTTGAGCTTTTAAAACCCCTGGTTATTATCCTTCCTAGTGCTTCAAACAGCCCAGCTTTAATGATCACTTCAGGGTGTCTTTGATCCTGAGTTCCCATTAGTTACCTCCAGATGGCAGCAGAGGACACTGGTCAGACTCCGGCTTAGAGGTAAAGCAACACAATCAAGTGCAGTGGCCTGACTTTGCCAGAGCTCTCCAAACAAATAGCACAGGTGAGCCCCCACGGAGGTTTCCCCTTGTGGCTGGTTTGAACATTAACCTGCTGTGTAGCCTCTGCCTGCCTTTCTGGGCAGGCCCGCAGAAGTTTGCCCACTCTCCTCCCCTTTCCTCACGCTGGGCTCATAACACACTTCCCCATGTAGGTCCAAGACTTGGCTCATTCTGAATCAACCCAGCGGCTCCACCCCTTTTGTTCATCGTAATGCTACTCACAAACATGAACTCTGGGGGCTCCACTGCCCACCTCTGTTCATCAACCAGATACGAGTGACGGATCTGGCCTACTGCAGCTACCGTAGCCAGGGTTTCTGCAGAACCAATGGCTCCAGAAATAGCATTTGTCTGAGTGCATTAGAAGCACCAAAAGTGGTGTCATTTTGTCAGCCCAGCTGCAACTGGGTTTCTGGCTATAATGTGCTGGTAAAATTGAACAGGTTCTGGGGTGGAGAACGGGGGTTCTGACTTGTGGGGTTTGCTGATGTCCATGGTATAACTCTCATCCACGGCCAATTTCAAGCCATCGTGATGTATGAGGAATTGCCAAGAGATATATGCCCACAGTCAGCTCCCGTAAGCTGGAATGAACTGGCTCCAACTGGCTTCGTTTTTGGTCAGGTCCAGTGTATGGTTAGGCGAGGGAAATGGGCACTCTTCCTCTCAACATAAATTTGCTCGCTAGTTGGTCTAACTTCCAACTCAGGGCCAGGACTAAGGTGAGGCAAATGAGTTGTTTAGAGTGCAAAATTTAAGGAGGCATTCGCTCTTAGGATCATGCAGGTGAAGGTTGTGCAAGTATATGACCCTAAGCATGAAGACGTCCTTAAATTTTGTGCCCCAGGGATCTCAATGGCCACATAGCTTCTGCCATTAAATCAAAAGTGGACCAGCTCCCCTCCCCACTCCATCTCACAGGTATCATCTCATCAGCACTTCTCTACCTGTTCTTTTTTATCTCATAATGCACTGGCACATTTGAGTCAAGGTCTAAAAGTCTATCCCACTTCCAAGGCCCTACTTCAATACTCGCTCTGTTTGACCAGCAGCTATAGTTTGGGGTTCACCTAGACAATCATACTCATAAGACCCCAAAAGGCATCCCCTCACCAGTTTACTCAGTTTTGCAGAAGAATGAAGGGCAGGAACACAGCATACCTATTAAAGGGTAGCATGAGTGATACACCTTCAATGCAAGTCCTCACAGCAGTCCAGGGCTGTCCTTCAGTCCCCAGAATGACATCTCAAATACAAGAAAACAAGGTTACACAGGTGGGTGCAGGAACTATCCTAGCTTAGTAGCCTCATGCCACACATAGAAGACAGCATCTCTTATATCAATCATGCCATGAGTACTCCAGGACTCAGCAAGAAGAAAACCTCAGTACGTCACACCACATTCAGGAATGCCCAAAGCTATGGCTTCCCTCCAGGTATTTATACTTCATTCACAACCTCGCAGCTCAGATGCACTGTAACGATCAACGGTTATGTTTACCATTAGGCAGTGTTGTATGGTTATACAGTTGTCATTCCACCTTTAGTAGATTACAGAGAAATAGTGCTAGAAGAAGATCAACAAGAGACCATTTTCGTAAGAGGAAGGAGAAAGGGTTTTGTTAACCCTTTACTCATATACCCCAAAGCACAATACCATAAAATTTCAGAACGCTGGCGATAAAGAAAATATCCTAAAACCTCCCAGAGGGCAAAACAAGTCTCATTCAAAGTTTTAGTAATTAGAATGGCTTCACCCTTTTTAACAGCAGCATCAGAAACTAAAAGACAATGAAGGAACATCTCCAAAATTCCAAGGAAAATAATTTCCAAGACAAAAATACAAATCTACAAACTATTATTCAAGGTCTCAGAGATAGATTTTTCAGGTATATAAAGTCTCAGAAAATTTGCCTCAATATCTCTTTTCTCAGAAAACTTCTGAAGAATCCCTACCCCTTCCAAACTAAGGAGTAATTCAAGAAAGAGAAGGAAATCTAAGATATAGGGGATTCCTCATAGGGGAGAAGCAAAAGAAAGTCTCAGAATAGTAGTGAGGAGAGATTTCAGGATATTTTCATAAAGCAAGATGATGGAATCCAGGAGTATATCCAGAAAAAAAAAAAAGAGTATCTGATATACCTAAATGTATTAAGAGGAGATTTATATTTCTAAGGATTCAGGGGTGAATTACTGATGGGATATAAAAAGCTAAGGAAACAGAAAATCATACAACTAATAACTCTGAGGTAAAAGTAGTACTTCAAAACAAAACGGTACCAGTCTTTACTACACTGGGACAATGGGAAGGGGAAAGGCACAAATGTTGAGGAGGGTGGTGGTGATCAGATTCTTCTAATTCCCTTCTCCCCTGCCTCCCTACATGACAGGGTCTGGAAAAGCTAATTACCCTCTTTGCAAGATTTTCTTGTAGTTACAGACGATCAAGTAGCTGTTCTGGTCGATGATATGCAATCAGAAGTCTACTCAGAACTTCTCGGAAAGCTTTTACCCTCCTGATTAAACAGGCAGATTTGGCTGCCATCCTCCTATCCTCTCTTTTTGTCTTGAACGTGGTTTGACGCCTACAGCTGCCAACAGTCACACTGAAAACATGAATCAACAAACCAACATGCTCAAATTGGTGGACGACAAAGAGTCTGAGTTACTCATGTTGTAGTTGAGCCCCTGTACCAACTCTGGACAGCCCACCTCTAGACTTCCAATTAAATGAGAGCCACCAGGCAGGTTTTGTTCCTTGGCCTATACCCACTAGATGCTAGCAGCAACTAAAGGTAGTCGTGACAATTAAAAATGTTTCCAGCTACGGTCAACTGACCCTAGTGGGCAAAACTGCTAGTTGAGAACCATTACCTTATATTAGTATTTTGGTTTTTTAACTTTCAGTAATACCGTAAATGTATTATTTTGATACAATTAAATTATGAAAAAAGAAACTAACAGTATGAAAAGAGCTAGATGAGAGACCACCAACGTTTTGTCTCCTTTTAAAACCTCCCAATTTCCTTCCTGACCTCTCCCTGGGCCTAAGAGTCTCACTCCTTCTTTCCCAGACATGCACAGACAGAACAGAGACACTTACCACCTAGAAATGCACACTCATAATGGCTGCAGGTCTTGTTTGTGCTTTGCAGGATAAGGTTATTGCCAGTCCCATCCTGTGTCACATGAAAAACCTCATTCAGGGGTATTAAAATAATTCTTTCACTTTCTTTATCAAAAAATTTTTCAACGGCAATTCCAAAGCACGTGTTGATGGTTAACAGAACGTCTTGGTCATTGGCAACTTGAGGTTTGGTTGAATATGCCAAGGTAAAATAGCCAAATCGGACTTGGTTTAGTCCTCCAGATGTAGATAAAGTAGTCTGCCTTACGCTATACACCACGTTTTTGTAGCTGTTCTCACAAGGTCTTCTCAGCAACTGCAGAGCTTTCGTCAGGTAGAAATGAAAAGCTTTGAACTGGAAGCCATAGACATAATCTTTTCGAGACTGGCCGGCCATTTTCCCAGCTTCATTGAACAGATGGTAAAAGGAAGTTTGCTCTTGAGCTTCAGAAACATATGCCATCAGGGCTATTCCATGGTTATCCTTAAAACCCATAGGGAGAGAGAGCTGAGTCTTCCGAGCTTCCCACTTGGCTTCTGCATTTTCCCACACATCTTCTAAGAGCTGGAGGCTTGCTTTTTCCTCCTTGAGCAGCTGGGGAACATATTTGAGTTCCATCCTGTCAGTGCATTTCAGGTATTCGTCATCAAATGCATTGTCTGCCATATCTAACATTTCAGCTTGTACCTTCAAAGGAAAAGGACATTAATACTCTTGAAATAAAGATACTTGGTGTACATCATTTCTCTCAGTTTATCGCATCCACCCCCTCATGCCCAGACTCTCTCCCTTGCTTACAATCAACTTTGGATATGTTTTTACGTAGGAAGTATCTTCCACTGCTAATGATAACTTTTCTCACATATTTGTATGAAAGAGTAAATGACCACGCCTGCAACTCATTCGTTTGAACCCTGTGGTACAGAGGAAAGAACAATGAGGGTGAAACTGAAGAAAATGGGTGGCAGTCCTGGCTTTGAACAATATTCTTAGCTAATTTCCTCAACCACTCAAGACTGTTGGGTGAATTTGAAATATCTTGTGTGAAACACTTTACATGAAGGATAAATATATAAAGGCAAACATTACCCCTTTTGCTTTGAGGACGCCCCCTCCCCCTTGTCTGTGTGGTTCAGCTAGGACTGATTCTGCATCTTCAGCCCCTATGATAAGCAACGATGCAGGCTTAAAAACCAGAGCACTCCCAGAAAAACAAAAGGCTTTCTTTCCCTATAACCATAAGCTCTAAGGATAATATTGGCTTGTGGCAGCCAATAGTTATCCATTTAGTCCCATGGAGAATCCTGTCTACAAATAAAGCCAACAAAGGAAGGTTTGCAGAGCTGAGAGGCGAAGAGAGAGATGAGGACCTGATAACATTACTTAAGGCCTGAGTCTAGCTTTACCTGGAAACTGTATGTTACTTCAGTCATAAGAATCAGTAAATTCCCTATTTATCTGAGCTGGTTTGAATTGTCTTTCCATTACAAGTAACTGGAAAAGGACTAAGCATCTTTATATGACACACATAACGTAAGAAGCAGGGCAGTGTAGTGTAACGAACACTACTAGCTTTGAGTCAGATAGATCTGGGTTCAAATTCCATTTCTGTTACTAACTAGGTACTAATTACTTATGGGAAAGTTACTTGACATTTCTGAGCTTCAATTTTTTCATCTAAAGAATGGGGATAACGTGAGGAAATAATATCTTAATTGCAGGATTGTGGTGAGGATTAAATGATATAATGAATATATGCAAAGTCCTTAGCCCCAAGGCACATATCAAGCCTTCAACGAGCTGTGGTTATTCTTATCATTTCGTAATAGGAATATATGTACAGTCTTCCCTCAGTACCCATGCGGGATTGGTTCCAGGAGCCCCCGCAAACACCAAAATCCACAAATGCTCAAGTTCCTTATAAAACTGGCATAGTACAGCCTTCCCCGGCAGTCCAGTGGTTAAGGCTCCGCGGTGGCACAAACCAGGGGTGCTGGTTTGAGCCCTGGTCGGGGAACTAAGATCCTGCATGCCACGTGGTGCAGCCAGAAAAAAAAAAAAAAGGCGCAGTACAATGAATACAGTGGGCCCTCTCTATCTGCGGGGTCACACATGTATGGATACGGAGGGCAGACTGTATTATGCTGTAAGTTCCTCAAGGGCACGACATGTATCATATTTATCTTCTGAATTCCAAGCACCTAGCATAGCAACTGGCAAAATATTTAGTTTAAGTGAACTAAGTAAGAACCCTGTGCTCAGGCCTATGGAGCAAAACACAGGATGAGCACATCCGCCCAGAGACACCATCTAAGGGTTTCTACCAGTAAAAGGGTAATGCCCTCCATATCATTGTCTCTTTCCACTACTCTATACTTGTATAGAGTATATAGTTGCTATAGTTGCTATAGTTGCTATAGACTATATACAACTATATGCAACTATAGAGTATATAGTTGCAACCTCAGTTGGAGACTTTATAGAAACACTTAGCCAGGATCTCTTAAAGTTGCAGGCTCCACGTGAATGATTCTTAAAGCGTGTGAGTGTGTGTGTGGAAAGGAAGAGGCGGTGCAGGGAACCAACTTAAGAAAGCAGAACATTAACTTGATTCCATATCCCACACCATCTCCTTCTCACTATCTCTCTTCTCCCCTCATAGTCAAACTTCTTCAAAAAGACATCTATCTTTGCCATCTCCGTTTCATTTCCACTCATATCCCAACCCTCTTCAATCCAGTCTCCCACCCCCATTCCTCCATCCAAATAGCTCTCACTAAGGAAACATTTCTTCTTGGTCTCCTTTGCAGATCTAGCATATTTTCATTGGCCATTAAACGCTGGTGTTTCTCAAGGCTACTTATTTTCCAACTCTCAGTTCTACCCTTAGGCAATTATATAAGACCTATAGTTTCAGTTATCATCTAAATACCTCTGACCTGTCCTGTAAGTGCAAGATCTGTATAGCAACTGCCTCCTTAATAACTCCACTTGAATTGCTCAAAGACCCTTCAAACAAAACAATCTAAGACCAAGACCAAACTTATAATCTTACTGCCTACAACTACCATCAACCTAGTCCTTATATAAAACCATCTATTCATTTGTGTAATTTTCTTAGATTTCTCCTTCTCAGTCACCCCCTGTGGCCACTTCATCCTTAAGGCCTAACAAACTTCTCCGGAGTGCTTTCTGTATGTGAAGCACTAAGTGTTCATATATATTAATTCATTGAATCTTCACGGTAACCCTGTGAGGTAGGTAGGTACTATTATTCGTTCCTTTTTTAAGGGTGAGGAAACTAAGGCACAGAGAGATTAACTTGTTTGGAATTGATATTTGAACCCAGGCAATCTGGCTCCAGAGTCCGTTCTCTTAACCAAAGTGTTGTGTTTCTGATGATGAAGATCACTGACATTTATGCAGCACTTTTTAAAAAAAGAGTTTAATTTTGTCCTCATAACAACCCTTATGAAAGGCTGGGCAGGCAATTCACAACACCGTTTTACGAATGTAGGAATTGTGTTGGCATCAGAAATGGTCTTGATTACCAGCCACAGAATATTCTGCTGGGGAAGTCACTGAGACCCTGAACTCCTGGGTCTGTAGGTCACTTTCTTGAAGTGGGAATTTGAGCTTCATGAGATGAAATCATTGCCATCTCCTAGCCAAGAAATGCACTTTCGTCCACAGCACAGAATGTACCAGAGTGCATCTTGGGCGCCAATGCCTAATTTATGTTCAAGACTTCAACATCTTATAAGACATCACACCCTGAAACCACCACCCCACATTCCTCACACCATATCAAGGGTTGATCCAATATGATCCTGTCTTTCCCCCTGTGCCTCTAACTAGTCTCTGCATGTCTAATTTTAGACATCAATTCTTTCTGGCCAAAGGCCACCGCTGATTGTGTGTTCTGTATAGTGAGTACCTTGAGCACTGAAAAAGCCCACAAATGCCGCCACAATTCAGGGGAAACTGAATGGACAAGGAACAGGTACAAAGGCTAGGTGAACACACTGATTATATTTTCTTCCTCTGAGTTATCCATTGAAACAAAATCCTATATGGATGAAATTCAATTACCAAAGGTTTATTACAAAAATGTAAAAATGACCTAAATGGTTAAAAAAAGAAATTGGTTAAACAAATTACGAAACATTCATAAAACAAACACATCAAATTTATGTTGCAGAAGAATATTAAAAAGGCAAATCAAAACCACAGTGAGATACCACCTCACACCCATTAGGATGGCTAAAAAGATAAGGAAGAAAAAGGAAAATAGGGGCTTCCCTGGCGGCGCAGTGGTTAAGAATTCGCCTGCCAAGGCAGGAGACACGAGACACAGATTCGACCTCTGGTCTGGGAAGATCCCACATACCTCGGAACAACTAAGCCCGTGCATCACAACTACTGAGCTTGTGTGCCACAACTACCGAAGCTCACGTGCCTAGAGCCCGTGCTCCACAACGAGAAGCCACCACGACGAGAAGCCTGTGCACCGCAACAAAGAGTAGCCCCCACTCACTGCAACTAGAGAAAGCCCACGTGCAGCAACGAAGACCCAACACAGCCGAAATAAATAAATTTAAAAAAAATTTTTTTAAAGTAAAATGGTATATTTTTATATGTGAATTATACTTCAATTTTTAAAAAGTCACACTGCAGACCAGGTAACAGAATATACAATGATTCTATAAACAATATATCAGAATATTAAATTTAAAAATGGGTAAAATTTTAAGAATTTAACACATCTTAAAGAACGTACTTCAAATCAGTGGACGAATACTCATTCAGTAGTGATGTGAGAGCTAACAATGTGGCGGGAAATATCAGGTGAGGGACCTGGCTCATATTTTACATAAAAATATGATAGGGACTTCCCTGGTGGCGCAGTGGTTGAGAACCTGCCTGCTAATGCAGGGGACACAGGTTCGAGCCCTGGTCCGGGAAGATCCCACATGCCGCGGAGCAACTAAGCCCGTGCACCACAACTACTGAGCCCGCGTTCTAGAGCCCGCGAACCACAACTACTGAGCCCATGTGCCACAACTACTGAAGCCTGTGCGCCTAGAGCCTATGCTCCACAACAACAGAAGCCACCATGCTGAGAAGCCCGTGCACCGCAACAAAGAGTAGCCCCCACAACTAGAGAAAGCCCGTGCACAGCAACAAAGACCCAACGCAGCCAAAAATAAATAAAATTTTAAAAAAATGATACAGAATGTTTAAAGATTCAATTGTAAAAAATAAAATCATAAACTCTCTATCAGAAAACAAAAGAATGCTGAATGTGGGAAAATAGTCACTATATAGTTTAATGGAAAACATGTAGATAAACATTGCAGTGTCATCTTATCTGAAGAATAATACATAGTTTTAGAATATCTGATGCCATGGACAGACATCTGTAGCACAATATTAACTTAAAAAGGTAAAAAAATACTATGTATAGTGTGAATCCATTTTTGTAAATTACCAACATAAACACATAGAAGAAAACTGAGAAGAATACACACCAACAGACTGAGTCTTTCCCTCTGGGTGGAAGATTGTGGATGATTTTTACTTTCCTCTTTTTGATTAATTTTAATTTTTCAATTTTCTACAGTTAACACATATCAGTGTGTAAAAGATAAGATCTACTTGTAAAAAACTAATTTACCTACTCTCTCTGTTCTCATTTCTATCATCAACCCACACAAATGCCTCAGGCAACCTTATATCAAGAGTTCCCATTCCAGTGACCACATGCTTCCCATTCCTAACATTACCTGGAAGATGTCCATTAGAATCATAGGTGCCAGCAGCATGGTGACCATTTCAAAATGTCCTGCCTTCATTTTTCTCTTCTAAATTAAAAAGAAAAAATTCCAATTTAGTAGACTTAAAGAAAAGGTTCAGGGAAGTAGAATAGGATGACACACTATATATATTTTTTCATTCTGGGTAAGAGTGGGTATCATAATGGTTAGGAAGTGATTATTAATAAATTTCCAATGGCTGGAAGGGTCATTAGACTTTGGTGGTCTAACACCCTCATTCTACAGAAGAGGAAACCAGAGCTCAGAGAACTTCAGCAGTTTGCTCAAGATTAAATCTGTCCATTTCCATTCTCTTTTAGACATGTTGTCTCTCCCACCATAGTCACTGGTAGTCATTTTTAATTCCTATCTCTACATCTCCCCTCAGCATACATAGGAAATCACAAGCTAAAAAACAACCGTTTCAGATTGGTCCCCTAGATCCCAGTCTCCAAGAATTCTCCAGGAGTTAGTATCCACGCATATCATCCATTCTTTGATCCTCCTTGCAAACCAAGTCATGCCCATTTGGCTAGGATGGAGGCCAGTAGTGGTAAACACCAGAAGGTTATCCGAGGCAGTCTGCTTCTCCCAAATAGTCACATTTAAGAGAAGCCAAGGATAAAACAAGTGTCTTGCATAACTTTCTGAAGGCAGGAATAAGAAGGAAATGGGTAGGAAGCAATTCTAGTAAGATTATATAATTCTATTGGCTGAATGCCCAATATTCATCCCAAAGTTCATGAGACAGGAGCAGGTAAACAGGAGGGTAAGAGGCCGTCAAGGGCTGAAGCTGTCCCAGAGCCATTAACTGATTCAATTAAAGACTGGTTTATAGTTCCTTCCACATACCTACAACAAAGTTGACATGGCTGGAACTGAACTGAAATCTCTTTTTTTATCCTACCAATCACCATGTTATGGCATCTGAAAATGGGGAAGAACAGCACAGGGGAAAGAAGATAGTCTTCCCTTTGGCCCCAGATCCCCATCTTTATTCAGGAGCAGTTTCTTTCACTAAAGATATCAAAAGATAGTACAAACATGCCACTCTTGTGTGAAGCTTCCCTTTAAAAAAAAGATTTGGAAAATAATCCTTGACAGATAACTGTCACAAGGCAGCATGTACCAAGCAAGCTCTGAATCAGGATTTTCTTGAAAATTCTTCACTTCCATAGTCTGAGTGTAAATAAGTCAAAATGTTTACCTGGCTTTTCTGCCTGTGGAGGTTTAAACGATGCTAGGTCTCCAACCGTTTCCCCAGTCTCTCAGTGGTGGTGAGCGTGTCTTCAGGATAGGAGGCTGTTGACACTGAGCGCGGAGAAGGGAATGCTTTTCTTTTTATAAACATCCCCAGCAATAGCTTGGCAGTGGCACATTACCTCATTTGTGTTCTGCTATTTATATCTGCCCCCCAGACTCTCCCTTGGAATCGTTACTGTTAACACATGAAATCTCCAAGAGGCTTGTAAGGCCACAGCAATTCCCTCTAACCACACAGCGCGTTCAGCTCTGAGCCCTCAGTTCTGGGCTTCTCAGAGAGCGATCACTTCCCATTCCTGACCCTTGGACCCTTTGACTCTGAGATGTCAGACTGAAGCAAGGATTTTACCCTAGCTAAATGGTTCACATAACTCAGGGGACTTGCTGTGTTAATCACTGGCAATGGTGATGGCTGTCACCATTCACTCAACTGGCTTACGGTATTTTCGGTACTGTGCCGGGTGCTGGGACACACAAGTAAGTGAAATAAAGCTGAAAAGCACTCCAACTAACAAAAGACATGAATATGCATACTTAACCAGAATACATGTTAAGAATCTTAGGTACAGGCAAAGCCCAGTGAGAACACTAAGAAGGGAAGGACTTGGTAGTATCTACAACGATAGCTCTCACTTGAGTAAAGTACACCTAGTAAATATATTGACTGCAGTGCTGAAGAATACTTAAGAATTCACTGACTATGGATATAAAACCGTGAAATGTCCTAGGAAATTCATGCATATGTGTATCAAAATTAATTAATAGAATATTTAGAAAGTAGCACTATTCATAAAAGCCCCAAACTACAAACCATCCAAATGCCTATAAATAGTAGAATGGATAAATTGTGGTGTATTTATACCATGGAATTTTGTATAGTATTGAAAATTGAGAAACTCTTAACTATATGTATGTGCATAAATACCACAAATTTTAAACCTATGAACAGATACAAACATCTACACACTGAATGATTTAATTAGTATAGAGTACAAGATCAGGCAAAACACTTCTATGGCATCAGATGTCAGAACAGTACCCTGAGTGGGAGGTAGTAACTGGAAGAGGCACAAGGGGAGCATCTGGGATGCTAGTTAGGTTCTGTTTTTGGTTCTGGGTCTCGATTACACTGATATATTGTTTATGAAAATTCACCAAGCTATTACATACTTAAATGTATTTTTCTCTCTGTGTGTGTACATACATATTTACTCAATGAAACATTTTAAACTGTCATGAAGTGAACCTACTTTTACAAAACCCATCTCTCCTCCTCAGACTCTTCCAGACGTCTAGCCTCTACCCACCTCACTGGCTAAGCAATTTAAGAGTAAATCCACTGAATAGGCTCTCAGTAGTTGTATCATTTTAAAAAATAGAGTTTAGTTAGAAAGGAAAAAGTTTGCACATGTTTTCAGTCCTTAGGCTCACAATGACCGGCATTTTAGGCCCAGGCATGTGGGCCTACAGGGAATGAAGTAGTGGGATTTTCCTGTATTTGGCCCCCGAAAGCCTATCAGATTCATCAATGAATCACACAAAAGACTGAGTCTACCAAAAAGAGCATAACAAACACTGCATGAAGCTCAAAGCAAGTTTGACCTTATTTATTCCCAGTATGCTTTTGCTCCATTCTTGTTTTCTTTCAAGAAAACATAGTGACTTGATATTTGTATATACTGTGACATGATCACCACAGTTAAGTCTAATTAACATCCATTACCACACACAGTTACAAAATATTTTTGTGTGTGATGAGAGCTTTTAGGATTTAGTCTCTTGGCAACTCGCATATGTGCAATATAGTATTATGAACTCTAGTTGCCAATTAGATCCCCATGACTTACTTTGTAACCGGAAGTTTGTGCATTTTGACTCTCTTCACCGATTCTGCTCAACCCCCACCCCCATCTCTGGCAGCCACCAATCTGTTCTCTGTATCTATGAGCTTGGTGGTTGCTTTTGTTTTTAGATTCCACATATAAGTGAGATCATACGTTATTTGTTTTTCTCCATCTGACTTATTTCACTTGGCAAGATGCCCTCAAGATCCATCCATGTTGTTGCAAATGACATTATTTCATTCTTTTTATGGCTGAGTAATATTCCATTGTATATAGGTGCCACATCTTCTTTATCCATTCATCTGTCGATGGACACTTAGGTGGCTTCCATACCTTGGCTACTGTAAATAATGCCACAAAGAACATGGAGGTGCAGAAATCTTTCCAACTGTTTTCATTTTCTTTGGGTAAATACCCAGAAGTGAAATTGTTGGATCATACAGAAGTTCTATTTTTAATTTTTTGAGAAACCCTCATACTGTTTTTCATAGTGACTGCACCAATTTACATTCTCACCAGTAGTGTACAAAGGTTTCCTTCTTCACATCCTAACATTTGTTATTTCTTGTCTTTTTGATAATAGCCATTCTAACAGGTGTAAGGTGATATCTCACTGTGTTTCTTTTTATTTTTTTATTTCTTGGCCGCACTGCACAGCATGTGGGATCTCAGTTCCCTGACCAGGGATTGAACCCATGCCCCCTGCAGTGGAAGCACAGAGTCCTAACCACTGGACGGCCAGGGAAGTCCTTCTCATTGTGGTTTTGATTTGCATTTCCTTGATGATTAGTGATGTTGATCTTTCCATGTGTCTGCTGGCCATCTGTATATCTTATTTGAAAAAATACCTATTCAGGTCTTTGCCCATTTTTTATATAGATTGTTTTTTTTCCTATTGAGTTGTATGAGTTCTTTATATATTTTGGATATTAACACTTTATCATATGTATGATTTGCATATTATCTCCCAATCAGGCTGTATTTTCTTTTTTTTTTTTTTCTTTTAACCAGGTAAGTCCCTGGGGGCCTTTTTTTTAAATTAATTTATTTATTTATATTATTTATTTTTGGCTGCAGTGGGTCTTCATTGCTGCATGCGGGCTTTTCTCTAGTTGCGGCGAGTGGGGGCTACTCTTCGTTGCGGTGCGCGGGCTTCTCACTGTGGTGGCTTCTCCTGTTGCGGAGCATGGGCTCTAGGCATGGGGGCTTCAGCAGTTGTGGCTCGTGGGCTCTAGAATGCAGGCTCAGTAGCTGTGGCACACGGGCTTAGTTGCTCCATGGCATGTGGGATCTTCCCGAACCAGGGCTCGAGTCCATTGGTAGGTGGACTCCTAACCACTGTGCCACCAGGGAAGTCCCCTGTATTTTCATTTTTAGATGGTTTCCTTTGCTGTGCAGAAACTTCTTAGTTTGGTATAGTCCCACTTGTTGATTTTTGCTTTTGTTGCTTTTGCTTTTGGTCTCATATCCAAAAAATCACTGCCAAGACCTATGTCAAGGTGCTTACCACTTATGTTTCCTCTAGGAGTTTTATGGTTCAGGTCTTATGGGTTGGCCAAAAAGTTCGCTCAGGTTTTCCCATAAGATGTTTTGGAAAAACCCAAACAAACTTTTTGGCCAACCCAATACATTCAAGTCTTTAATACATTTTGAGTTAATTCTTAGGTATGATGTAAGATAGTGGTCCAGTTTCATTCTTTTGCCTGTGGCTGTTCAGTTTTCCAAACACCATTTACTAAAGAGACTGTCCTTTCCCCACTGTATACTGGCTCCTTTGTCATAAGTTAATTGACCATATACACATGAGTTTATTTCTGGGCTTGCCATTCTATTTCACTGATCTATGTGTCTGTTTTTACACCAATACCATACTGTTTTGATTACTATAGCTTTATAATATAGTTTGAAATCATGGAGTACAATGCCTTCAGCTTT